GAAAACAACATCATCCACACAGCGATGTGATCGAAGGTTACTTTTACCAAGGTCGCGACAGCACAACCTCATGCGGCAGGCGCTGAGTCAGATTTCTCTGCGGCATTCGTAACCCTCTTTGCTACGCGACTGTGGAGCACCGTGCCCCTCGCGCCGGCATGGTGCTCTGCTTGCAGTGCTTACAGGCAGTATAGCAATCCAGCGAGCATATCCGCGTGTTTGAGTGGAGTAAGTTGAACACACACTCTAGCAGCTCTAGCACACACGACACACACACAAACACACACACACACACAAGCACAGCTGAGGATTGGTTGTAGGCTTGAGCTGCGGTCTCTGCTTGCTGAGTGTAGGTTGACGAGGGCTAAGGGCTGTTTGTTGGGATTTTTGTTTTCAGAACTGCGGCGCTCTTAATTAAGTTCATCAAGTTGGTTGTCTTTCACAACGTAAGACTCGAGGGGCAACCTAGAAGACCCCTTGCCTCAACGCAAAAGCTTCAATCATGGCAGAAACGCAGCTTCCCCTGACCGTTGGCAGTCAGCTGACACTTTTCACAGGGCTCGCACAAGTACGCGTTGTACTGAAGAAGCCACCGCTGAAGCATTCTTCTGCTGACTGTGGCACTGTGCATGGAATTTTTGATCGCTCGGCAAATCTTGCCGATGTAATCCTCCTCATTGAAGCAGCTCCCCATCCGGGGGTTGAGTTTGGCCCCCCCTGCGGCCCGAAGAATGATCTGGCAATGCAAAACATGCAGCTTCGGACGAAGCTTGTACCTGGGCTCTCGCAGCCACTCGCTGTAGCAGCAACACGTACCCCCACACATAATACGGACACTATGACGAGAGCAGGATTACGCAAACCCTCTGTATATATACACATACATACATACATACATACATACATACATACATACATACATACATATATATATATATACAAAAAAATGTATGTATGCAGATGTGAACCAAACCAAACCAGATCGACACCACAAGTTTCGGAAGCAATCCTATCCACCAACCCAAACAGAACTTGGGCTACGAAGGACTGGAACACCAAAAAAGAAACTTCGATTCCAAAACAGGCTTAGCTTCAGTGGCACTGCACGCTCCAGCGCTTGTTGCGCTAGGCGGCAATACGTTTTCAAGTAAAGTCGCCCAGCCTCCACCAGCAGCCCTCTCTGCTCTTCTGTAAACCACACGTGGGCCTCATCACATACCGCCCCCGCTGTGTGGAGCGCCCATGCACAAACCGATTGTAGCCGAAGAGCAGGATCAGCACAATCCTGCAAGAAGCTTTAATTCGATGATCATGAAGTTCACTTAAAAACGAGTTTCTCAAAGTCAAAACCACTTTGCTCGCAGGTACTTTCCGTTGCAACCAAGCAGCTTGAAGCACATCTGCGAAATATGCTACCATGACTTTGTTGGCGTATCCCTTGGAAGGCCCCTGCGGGTAGTCCAGGCTCAGTGTGTGCACCCCCAGCTTGCTCAAAGTGATCTCTTCTATCGTGGACGGCCTGATGTTTCTTTGGATGCACCAGTTCTGCATGCTTCTGCGCAATCCAATAAAGCGCTCATCGTATGTAACACCATCGAAGTCTCGTGAGTGCTCTACTGCTTCCATGCAAAGCGAGCCCACGAGATCGCGGCCAGTTCCCAGCCACACCACGTGGAGGAGGTCAGGTGCCTCGACCTCTGGTGTCCAGCCAGAGAGCTGCCTGAAAGCTATGTCGGGGCCAACTGCCGTTGCTCGAGCGGCTTGGATGTCTCTTGCAGAATTGAAGCGTTCATGGACGTCGAGCCAGTTGTTTTTCGCTGCTAGGCAACGAGGGCAGATCCCCACGTCGGTGTTGGTGACGTTCATGTAATTTCTTTCCTGCATGAGGAACTCATACTTCCACTTCCAGTCGCCCTTACTTAGAATCATATGAAGTGTGGGTTCGTCTCCCCTCCTTGTGGCGCAGCGATTGAAGCTGCTGACCAGCTCACGTTGCAGATCCTGCAGAGTCACATTCCTTCCATTCTCGTAGTGGAAGAAATCGCTCTTGATGACCTGTGACATTGCAAATCTTGACTGGCACAAAAAGCGATTTCATCACTAACTCAATACCACCTATACAACAGTGTCTAATTTCTCCTGGGGACTGCAAAAGGGTACTTCGAATACATGGACTCTTTCGTCATGCCCAGTGGTGACCACGAAATCACCAAGACATTGCGCCCTCTCTTGCCTGACCCTTCGTCGCCGTGCAGCGTAACTCCGTACGCTCGTGATTTCGCAGCGTCGTCATAGTCTTGTACAGGGTGGTACCTTACAATCACGCAATGTTCTGTTCTGCAAAGGTGACGCCGCGACATATTATTGACTTAATGTGCCAAAAACGCTCTAATGCAGCATGATGCTGGCCCCAATCCTCAGAGGCTGCTTGCCGCCAGAACTGCAACCAATCGATATCGCCTTTCCTTAACACAGGGAGAGCAACAGTGAGTGTGAGAGCGAGAGGGAGAGTGAGAGCGAGGAAACAGGAAAATGTATGTCTATATATGTGCTTATGCATGAGTACGTGTGTATACGTACTAGCTGACATGCACACGCAGGCATACAAACATACCGAAACATAAACAAAAACATTAAAAAACGCCTTGAAATGTCAGACTAGCAGCAGCTCGCTTTCCAATCCGGCAGCAAGCATGTGTTGCATCAAGTCGTGTGGTCGCAAAACAGGCCAGGACTGGTAACTACCAGGCAACGTTCGGGCCCGTCTGCTTTTCTTAGCCAGTCTTTTGCCCTTTCCCACCAGTCGCAATCGCCGCTTCGTTCGTTGGGATTTTGCTTTGTTGATTGTGCCAGGGTCTTTGATCATAATGGAGACTTTGGACAGAGGACACTTCACCGGTACCTAAGTAGAGACGGTAGGGTGCTACACAAAACTTAACCACCTCCCCAGCTCAGAACACCAAGGGACATCCACCGAGGAGGCACTGGCAGCACGATGCAGAGTTTCCTCTACGTGCGACAGCCGCTTGCCAGAAGCCCCGATCGTCGCTGCCCACGCAGTACCTCATGTCGAGACGAGAGGACCAAAATGTTCGGGTAACGAGTTGTCTCATCAAGCCTTATAACAATTATGTTCATCTCTGTTCACAATCAAACAAAACAAATCTTCTCTGAAAAACCTGACATAACGAAGCAAGACATATAGAACAACGGCTCAACGTAAAGGCAAGAAGCTCTTTGAAACATTGTGAACACCAGACTCGGAGGTTGCAGCCGCTGCTACCTTCTGAAATGAGCTTGCCGAGTGCCCCCTGCCAACATTCCAAGCCAGCAGGCGGGACAAAGGAGATTGTCGCAATGAAAAATCTTTGCTGGAACTCTGCTTCTGGTTCTTGTCACCGGGTGGTGTCTGCTGCCCTCGAGCTTGTTGACTCAAGCGCTTTGCAAACTTCAGCATCTGGCAGACCACTTTGCGAAACGCGCAAAATGAATCTCGACATCATCGCGAAAGAAACTCTGAGAAGTGTATTAGGACGTCTAGGAAGGTTTTCTTGCAACAAGTCTTGGGTGAGTTCGTGGCACGATCTGCAGCGATCAATCGCCATATAGGTTTGGGTTGTACTATAGAGCAATACCCTGTTATGAGACGTTTAACCATGTTTGGGGCCTACAATACATTGCCACGGAGGCCTGGGGCCCAGCAACATACCAGCAGCAATAGTCGCATTCCTGATGTCATGCTTCAGTGGCGCAGTCGAGTTCCGATGCATGCGATGGGTTCAGATACGACTTGCACAAGCAAGCACAACGCTGGATCTCAAACCCGTGCGCAACGTAACGCCCAGCAGAAATACTTTCTATATAAGAGTGTCTCCAGAAGCCTTCTAAAACACCGTAGTTATTCTTTGCAGAAAAGCAGACCTCAGCAGTCCCAAACAATCCATCTTTGCAGAGAAACCTTATGAGAAACTGTATTCTATATTGCATTACAACACACCTAAACAGTCCCAAACAATCTGTGTTTGCACCGAAACCTTATGAGAAACCGTATTTTTTTTGCAATATAACAGACCTAATCAGTCCCAAACAATGTGTAATTGCACCGAAACCTTATGAGAAACGGTATTCTATAAATATGTGTGTGTATATATATATATATACATATGATCACCCAAACCTTACCCAAAACATGGAACACTGTATGTTACGAAACAGACAGAACCCCCTAGCTGCATGTCACACCATTCGAAACTCTCAAACCAAAAGCCAACAAACACGAGTATTGGTCTACAACGTAACCCGGGCAACCCTGTAGCTTCAACCTTAAGTTCATATGAGTGTCTGCACAGATAGTTTTCAAAGCTGGAGCATCGCTTACGGAATGCTGTCCACGGCGCCATCGAGCGCATCAGTCGTCACGACTGGGCGCATGCACCCCACCCCGAATCCACAATCTGCGCAAGCCCACCTACAGCACAACTCGCATGACTTAGAAAGTGTACACAGGCATGTACACAGCAAGCACCATGCAGCACTGCAACAACATCTGGTCCCACATTACGGCTTCAACGCAGACTTGTGGCCCATGAAGTCTTGGAAAAAGCTGCCACACCCAGCATCGCGATTGCAGCCATCGGCCCGGGCTGGGAGCTCTCATATCCGAACATCTACACACATACACAGAAAGAATTATCTCTCATACATCTTCTGCCTGGTGTGGCACGATCGAAAGCAAAATGCTGGCAAATCTCACTTCTCCTGCTCTGCGGACCCTTTGGGCGTGCTGCGACTCTTCGCTTTCTTCTTGGGCTGAGCTGCACGGTTCTCGCTGGCGATCCTAAGCAATGCAAATGAGAAATAGCACGGCTAGCACATCAAAGCAAAACCCTTGCACATGAAACGTACAGTTTGCATACGAGATTCAGGCTCGTGGCCACCCGAAGATGCTTCTTGTAGCCTTGCACATAGGGACGGGCCTGCATCCACAGATCATTTCTAGGATCAGTACAGAAGTGCGGAGGGATCCCTAGTACACACGTGGGGCGCCTTGTCCAAAATATGCTGCACGTCCGAAACATCTGGAGTCTTTCCCAGACTTTGAAGTGCTTTGCGCGTGTTCGCCATGCCGGCCACAGAATCAGTGATCAAATCCATCAGCTTGGATTGTGACTCCAGCTGCTCCAACCTCATGCAGATAGACGCTCAGCAAATTGTTGTGTGAGGCAGCACCAACAGAAATCCAAGATGCTCGATCTTCACTGTCGTCGCACGCCCTTCCTCGTGAGTGCAGGCAGACACCCATTCTTTGATGAACTTGTCGATGTCGAAATCTTGGGTATTTGCCATGATCTGGACTTCCATGTCGCTTCCCTGATCACACACAGAAGCAGCGAGAACATGTTAAACTGTGTTTTCACCCAACGGCCTTACACAGAAGTTGCAACCCTTTCAACAACGTATATAGGTATATTCCACTCGGAAAAGCATGGTCTTTCACGAAAAAAACGGCTGGCGATTGGAAAGTGCCAGGAATAAATTTCCAAAGTCTCAACAACTCAGCTGCTATCTCGAGCCAATTCAGATTTATTCCAATGTCGCCCAACAACTATCCGGCCTGCGGCTTCTGCGGCCTCGCCTTCTTCTGGGGAGGCTCATTATTAGGTTTCTCACCTTTATTGGCCTTGCCAGGAACTGCAGTATCAGGGTTGCTGTGCCCGGATGGGGCTGAGGCAGCAGGAGGTGGCAGCGCGGGACTCGACCGCAACTCCACCGGATTGTGTCCGTGTTGCAAAGTGATCGCCAAGTCTGCAGCAGCCCGGGGATCGATCCCCATTTCGATCGAGATCTCATCCTCAGACATCACATAGCAGCAGCAGCAGCACCAGCAGCTCAGAAACTTTCAGCCTTCGGACATAACAGCTAAGCAATCACTCAGCACTTGTTGCGTCATGGATACCAAGGACCGACCGGGTGGTCACCTGCCGCTTCTCCCTGTCGTAATACAGAAATGTCTCCACTCCTGTGTTGCGACAGGTGGAGCACCTTGGGGAAGCATCTGCACATGCACATGTATAAAACATGGGTAGTGCATGAAAAGGAGTTTGCAGGAGACAATTGGGCCGAGCCACCCTTTGATTTGCCCACGCCTGCGTGCGACGAACTCATCCGTTCTCACCTGATCGTGGCCCATGAACTGGAAGATGTCCGCGTAGGGATAATAGTGTCCTGGAAATCATGCATCTTTGTGCGGACATGTGTTGTGAGCCTGGTGTCTCAGGGATCGGCCCACCTTCGTCCTGACTCATGTCTTCAGCCTGTCGCTTGTGTCTCATACACGCCTCGAGTGCGAGGCCATCACCTGAGCTATAACATCAGGATGGAGCACGAGGGAACGTGACTCCAGTTTAATACGATCCCAGCTGCAACCTGCTCGGACGTACTTCGCGAATGCCGCCATCTTGAACGTGCCTCCCTTCCTCAAGGCATCCACGAACAATCTTAGAAGGCAATGGAAGCGACATGCACACGCCACACAAAGTATGCAAATGAAACTAAGTAGTTTGCGACCACGCAGTAGCCAGCTCCTGGGCCGAGCTGTCCTCTGTGCAGAACTTCCTGAATTTTTTGTACTCCTGAGGGTGTGTCGCGGAGTTGACTGTCTCGATCTGCACAGGGACTGCTGGTGCTGCCGCCCGTGCTGGGGCCGGCGGAGGGGGTGCGGCAGGCAAGGCGGCGAGGGCCGCAGAGTTCTCTGAGTTCTTCCCCCCAGAGGGTGCAGGCGGGGGGCTGGGAAGGGCTGCTTTCGGAACAGAAGCAGGCGGAAGTTCTGGAGCTGCTTTCGCAACAGAAACAGGAACTCCTGCGTCTGCAGACTGTGCAGAAACTTTTCCTTCCAGCACCAGTTTCGCAAGGCTTTCAACCAGCTCTTGTTGCCCGCCCTGCTGCAACTGCTTCACGAGGTCAGCCAACAAGTGTGCCCCAGCTGTCGAAGCCGAGTCGGCGCCACTCGACGTCGGGTCGGCACTGGGGCTGTCGGCAGGTGTCGTGGGGGAAGAAAGGACTTTGCTTGTCGTTGTAGCTCTTGCGGGAGCCCCCAATGATGTGTCACTTTCATTGTCCGACCTGAATGTTGGATAGGCTATATATACTAGTGCCGGTGACAGTGTATGTTTGAAATACACACTCCACAGGAAATGCATGCCAGGCTGCAGCTCGAAGGAGCGAGAGCGGTACCGACCCCACCAGCCTTTGTACTTGTCTTGTACGTGCTCAGGCAGCACTGGCAAGGGTTCCTCAGCAACTTCCTGCATACA